GGGGGGGGGGAGAACGTGCAGATCTGTCCTCGCAGAGGAGGGAGAGCTTGTACCTGAATAAAACTTGGTCTTAAAGGTGCCACTGGACTGTTTTGGACTGGGGGGCCGGGGGGGGGGCTCTGCGACTTACCTGGCTGCTTCTTGCTCTGACTGAGGGCTGCTGGGAGCAGGGGGTGGGGCTTGTTGCATGTGCCCGCCCCCTGGGCTCTTTACTGCCGGAGCTCCGCTCCTGTGCGCTCCTGCAGGAAATGACCCCTGGTTGTGAACGAGCAATTTGGCTACTGCATATATTAGTTTGCTCTGGAGCCCTCCTTCCTGAGCTAAGACAAAAACATGTGAGCCAGAGGCTAAAAAACTGTGAGCTAGCTCACACTGACTCAGCTTAGAGGGAACACTGGTCCTAATCTCTGCTGTCACCTTAACAAAAACGATCTTTTGGTGTCTTCCAGGGACTCCGTTTCCCAAGAACTTCCTCCAAGTGGTGAAAAAGATGCTCTCCCGGCTATTCCGGGTTTTTGTCCACGTCTACATTCACCATTTTGACCGGATCGCCCAGATGGGCTCCGAGGCCCACGTGAACACCTGTTACAAGCATTTCTACTATTTTGTGAAGGAGTTCCACCTCATAGACACCAAGGAGTTGGAACCACTGGTACGTGGGAGCGGGCGGGAGTCGTGGTTGTGGGTAGCGAAGTCCTGTATCGTGTGCAGAATCCTGGAAAGAGATTCCCGGGCGTCGTCTGCAGCGACGTTTCGTGCTGTTGTTGGGTTTTACAGCATCTCTCATTTAGAATCATAGTTCCCAGTTAAGTTAGCCAAGATCTCTAAAGTGACCTCCAACATATGTTGGAAGTGTAAGCAGAATGTAGGCACTTATCTCCATATGTGGCGGAACTGCTGCAAAGCAAAGGAATACTGGAGGATGATTACTAAAATGATGGGCGAAATAATGGGAAAACAAATCCCTCTTGAACTTGAAATGTGTATCTTAAATATGATTCCGGAGACGTACGAGAAAGCCGAAAAAAATTTTTTGATTCACTGTCTCACGGCCGCTAGGATTTTGTATGCAAAGTACTGGAAAGAGGGTAAAATTCCAGAAAAGAATGACGTTATACAGAAGATATGTGATGTGGCTGAAATGGACAAGTTATCCTGTATACTAAAGGGGAAGGATGATTCGATTTTTGTAAATAATTGGGAGAAACTGTACATTTGGACACGAAATAGGAAGGTTTAATATAACTGTGTTTGGTGTGTTATTGAAGGAAGAGGTAATATACTTATTGTTAGTAAATAGTAAAGGAGAACAGCGGAGAACTGGAAGTTGCAGGAAAAGTGAAATAGCTGTATGCTCATCCGTCTATGAAGTGATAAGCATCTGATTTGTTTGTTTTAATTTGGAAAATGAAATAAAGTATTAAAAAAATAAAATAGAATCATAGAGTTGGAAGGGGCCTCCAGAGTCATCTAGCCCAACCCGATGCAGGGAATTCACAAATACCTCCCCCCCCACACACACCCAGTGACCCTTGTTCCATGCCCAGAAGATGACAAAAAAACCTCCAGGATCTCCAGCCAAACTGGCCTGGATAAAAACTGCTTCCTGACCCCAAAGTGGCGATCAGCATTTCCCTGGGCATGTAAGAAAGGGCCACAAGAACTAAGCACTGAGGCAACCCTTCCTGCCCTCCCTCTCATGATCTGCCGAAGTTCACAGAATCAGCATTGCTGTCAGATGGCCATCTATCTAGCCTCTGTTTGAAAACCTCCAAAGAAGGAGAGCCCGCCACCTCCCGAGGAAGCCTGTCCCACGGAGCGCTCTAACTGTCAGGAAGTCCTTCCTAATGTTTAGCCCGAAACTCTTTTGATTTAATTTCAACCTGATGGTTCTGGTCCAACCCTCTGGGTGCTCCCGCAGTGCTAAAGACAACTGCAGGAGCCCTGCTGGATCCGACCCATTGGTCCACCCAACCCAGTATTCAGTTTCCAGCTGTGTCTGGCTAGATGTTTGCCACTTCCTGAATGCAACATTCCTCCCTTGTTGCTCATTCTCCTGCAAGTCGATAAGCAGTGATAGACTGCCTCTGGCCTGGGAAGATCCTTTACTCTTTTCATAGCTGATTGGGCCAACACCAAAAATTGCTTTGCTGAATCAAATCAAAGGTCCATCTAATTCTACATCCTGTTTTTTGGGTATGTAGCTTCGGGAAACCTACCAACAGGGTATGGTTTTTAGGATCTGATCTTTGGAGGTTGAAGATGTCTGAACAGGAAGGTTCTCTTTAGTGCGAATGATAGGTCTGTCCTCCATTAATTTGTGTAATGCTTTTTTAAAAAAATGCAATCTGAACCAACCTTTGTGTATTTGCTTTTTTTTCTTGAACACTTTTTTTTTTGTACAAGACCAACAAAAAACAAACAAACATACATACATACATATAAATTGGGGGTTATATTTAGCACGTTATTTTTTCTAAGTTACCTCGTACAATATCTAATTATATATTTTGCTTCTTTTTTTAATTTATATTTTATTTTATAAAAGCAATAAACTGCTACAAATAGCATAGACAGTACAAATAAGTATTGCTGTATAATACATAGGTAAAGGTAAAGGTTCCCTTGCTCAAAAGCCAGTCGAATCCGACTCTAGGGTTGCGGTGCTCATCTCCGTTTCAAAGCCGAAGAGCCAGCGCTGTCCGAAGACAATTCTGTGGTCATGTGGCTGGCATGACTAAACACCAAGGCACACAGAACGCTGTTACCTTCCCACCAAAGCGGTACCTATTTATCTACTTGCAATTTCTTGCTTTCGAACTGCTAGGTTGGCAGGAGCTGGAACTAGAGACGGGAGCTCACTCCATCATGCGGCACCCGGGTCTCGAACTGCTGAACTACCGACCTTCCACAGCCTGCAGTTCAGTGTCTTAACCACTTGAGCCACCGCAATACATAAGCACAGTGTTATTATTAACTAACTCAAAGAGATGTATACACAAACAGTGTAATAGTACTAACAATACCAAAATTGTCTAGAATTAGATCTAGCTTACTAGTTTTAAACTTTTAAACAACTAAGAACATTAGTCTTATGATCTGAATCACTAGGTCTAAGGAGCGTAAATTACTATAGAGTAGATGTAGTTCAAAAATAAATCAGCTATCTATAGAGAGGATTTTTTGCTTCTTTATTTTTCCCCACCATGTAAATTTCAATAAAACTTTGCTCATAACTAAAAATCTAGTTCATATTTTCTTTTGATTTGGTTGTATGTCCATATGATTTATTTATTGGTTTGTGATATGCGTACAGAAAGAAAGAAGTAGGGGTAACTAAAAGGCAAGAGACCTTAATAGGGGGCATTTTTTTTCTGAACCAATTTGCTACAGCAACTTGGACGGGCATTTCTACCCTGCTCGACATCTCCCTCCTTCTAAGCCTTCATTATGTTGGGTATTGTAAGTCTGCGTGCAAGGGGACCTGGGAGGGAAAGGGTTAAGAGAATCCTCTCACTGGGGTGCACTTGGCAGTTGGCCCCCAACCCTATCATGAGTTAGATGCTGAGCCTCTTGGGCCCTTGATTGTCTTCTGTTTCCTCTTATATAAGACCTCTCTTCAGCCAGTTTGGTGTCATGGTTAAGTGTGTGGACTCTAATCTGGGAGAACCGGGTTTGATTCCCCACTCCTCCACTTGCACCTGCTGGATGACCTTGGGCAAGCCGTAGTTCTGATAAGAGCTGTCCTTGAAAAAGAGCCGTTTCTGTCAAGAGCTCTCTCAGCCCCGCCTACCTCACAGGGTGTCTGTTGTGGGGAGGGGAAGGGAAAGGAGTTTGTCAGCCACTCTGAGACTCCTTTGGATAGTGAAGGGCGGGGTATAAATCCAACCTCCTCCTCTTCTTCTCTCTCACAATAAGTTAAATGTACCTACATGCATATGCCGTGTAAGACGTGCTTCTGCTGTTGTAAGTAAAATTTCTTTCTCTTGTTACATGTACCTACATGCATATGTCGTGTAAGACATGCTTGTGTTGTTGTAAGTAAAATTTCTTTCTCTTGTTATCACTGGAGTCAGGTCATCTTTGTGATTTGTTTGAACAGCATTTTCCGCTTTACTGGGAAACGTGGAGGGTGAAGGGTACTGTGTAAAGCTTCTGTGCTTCCAAGGCCAATTTTTTTTTTTAACATTTAACCCACTACATTAAACATAAATTTTTGCAATCACAGAAATGAACTGAACCCCAGGGCAGCTTACTGATCTCCGCGAAACTCTGCTCCTGGGGGACGGGGCTTTGAAGAATGCCACGAGGGCAGGAGCTGCTGCAGAAATGGGATGTCAGTGGACGTTGTCCACTTAGTTAGCCTATTGTCTGCGCCAGGGCTCTTTTTGTAGAAAAAGCCCAGACGGAACTCATTAGCATAATAGGCCACACCCAACAGCAGAAACTCATTAGCATATTGGGCCACACCCCTGACAGCACAGCTCATTAGCACATTAGGCCGCACCCCCATGTTACCAGAGGTGTGGTCATCCAGCCACACCCACCTTTTGCTTCTTATTCTGTTGACCTTGTTTGTCGTCAAAACCCAGGGCCTTTTTTGTAGCAGGAACTCCTTTGCATGTTAGGCCACACCCCCCTAATGTAGCCAATCTTAATGCGTTTGCGTGTGGCCTGTTATGCTAATGAGTTCCTGCTGGGCGTGGCCAACTCGGGAGCCAGCCGGAACTCCGTTCCTGTGCGTTCCTGCCCAAAAATAGCCCTGCGCCACACGTTTTCAGGGGCATCCATGAGGGCTAGTAACCTGGCCTTTTCCTTTTTAAAACGCTGCATTCTGAAACATACTCTGCTTGCTGAACGACAAAAACGAGGCAGCTGTTTGCCCGTTCTGTGACACTAAAAAAAAAATCTTGTCCTTGTATTTTTTTTAAAAAAGAACTTATTATTAAATGCCTTTTTTTTTTTTGCCCTCTCTTTAAAAGAAGGAAATGACTTCGCGGATGTGCCATTGACATTCCGGGACTTTCCTCCCGTCCTCCCAGCCGTTCCTGCTCTGAGTCTCTCTCGGGACTGCGGAACCGCCTCCTTTTTAAAAAACAAGAAAATAATATATATATATTTTAAAAAATGAGTTTTTTTAAAATGTTTTAGAATTTAATGCACTGTGGAAATATTTTATGAAATGCTTCTGATTGTTAGTTGTTGTTTTTTTAAAAAAAATAGACATTTATCTGCCACTGGGTGGGATCGCAACTTTTAAAGGATTGTGTTGGAATAGAATGTGTTAAGGTCACGATCACTTTCATTTTGTACTGGGGGGGGAGAGTTTGGGGGGGTGCCCCTTCGTGGTTCCCAGCATGCTTTGCGTTGCTGAGAAGGATCTGGGGCGCGCCTCTTAGATCGTGTGGTGAAGGCCAGCGAAATGTCACACGTGTGGGGGTGTTTTTTTTAGTGCAACTTGGAACTGTGTTTGTGCCACTGGCTGGAAATATATACAATGCTTAATAATAAAGCGTCTCCGTACTATCCCACGGTGATATCTTCTGTCCCCATCTTATGGTGTGTCGGCGGGTGAATGACTTAATTAAGACCCATTCTAAAATGCAGATAGATGCACCATTATTACATAAAAGGTGACATAAGTCGTTAAGGTGTCTGGATGCCTCTGCATGGCGGGGGGGGGGGTTCCCCTCTGTAATTTGGTGCAGTGGTTAAGTGCACGGACTCTCATCTGGGAGAACCAGGTTTGATTCCCCACTCCTCCCCTTGCACCTGCTGGATGACCTTGGGCAAGCCATAGTCCTGTCAGAGCTGTTCTTGAAAAAGAGCCGTTTCTGTCAGAGCTCTCTCAGCCCCGCCTATCTCATTGTGGGGAGGGGAAGGGAAAGGAGTTTGTCAGCTGCTCTGAGACTCCTCTGGGTAGTGAAGGGCGGGGTATAAATCCAATCTCTTCTTCTTCTCCCTCAGCCCCACCTACCTCACAGGGGTGTCTGTTGTGGGGAGGGGAAGGGAAAGGAGTTTGTCAGCTGCTCTGAGACTCCTTCAGGTAGTGAAGGGCGGGGTATAAATCCAATCTCTTCTTCTTCTTCTTCTGGATGACCTTGGGCAAGCCATAGTTCTGACGAGCTGTCCTTGGAAAAGAGCAGTTTCTGTCAAGAGCTCTCAGCCCCACCGACCTCCCAGGGTGTCTGTTGTGGGGAAGGGAAAGGAGACTGTAAGCCGCTCTGAGACTCCTTTGGGTAGTGAAGTGTGGGCTATAAATCCAATCTTTTCTTCTTCTCCTCCTCCTCCTCCTCCTTTCTTGAAGAATTTCTGTTGCTCGCGTCCAAAGTGGCTGGGCATGCTTTTCAATCTGACTGTTTTGGTCTTGCCCAAAATGAGTTTGATACTGGACCCGTTTTGCCTGTCTTGGCAGGTTGCCTCCGTGCCTCGCAAAAGGCAGTGCCTCTTTATCTTTCAAAAACGAAACCGTCTCTCTTGCTTTCCTTCACATGGGGGATTTCCACAGCACCGTGAAAGTTTCCGAGTTTGTGTGTTGACAGCTTTCCTTGATCTTTAAGACCTGTGCGTGGCGAGTTATTGGACTCTAAAGGGGGGACTTTTGGAAAGAACTTTTTGTAGGAAGAGAGGGACTTCACACCAAAACACCCCTACCAAGTTAGCATCTCGAGAATCATTGAATCATAGAATGTTAGAGTTGGAAGGGACCTTGCAGGTCATCTAGTCCAACCCCCTGCACTCTGCAGGAGCATACCCGAAAGATAGCCCTACAACATACCCGAAAGATGGTGGTCCAGCCTCCGCTTGAAAACGTCCAGCGAAGAAGCGTCCACCGCCTCCCGAGGCAGTCTGTTCCACTGCTCAACCACTCTTACAGTTAGGAAGTTTCTCCTGATATTTAGCCGGTAACGACTCCCTTGTCATTTCCACCCATTAGATCTAGCCTTGCAGTCCGGAGCAAGAGAGAACAGATCTGCTCCATCTTCTCCATGACAGCCCTTCAGATACTTGAAGACTGCAATCATGTCCCCTCTAAGCCTTCTCTTTCCCAGGCTAAACAGACCCAAACTCTTTCAGCCTTTCCTCCTAAGACTTGGATTCCAACCCTCTCACCATCCTGGTTGCCCTCTTCTTGCAATGCTGAAGAGCCTGCCGGGACTGAATCCCTGTAAATAAATAAATAAATAAATCTTTCAATTTAATAATCGCTCAATCCTGCAGAGCTTGCTTGCTCTGAGCGATTTACAGTTACTCCATTACACACGGGACTATCAATGATTCAAGGGGTAAGGGAGGACAACATATAATCTTTAAATCACACACGTTCGCAGCCGATGGGGAGTTTTGTTCAGCTGTAAGGTCAGATGTGTTCCAATGGCATTTTCCCCTCAGCGTACCTTGATGTCGTCAGCTTTCTCCGGACTGCTTCAAGTTGCAGCGCAGCACTGCCACCGCCTGGCCGGACGGCCCATTACAGGCTTCCTTGATGCCGAAGAGTTCTTTCTAGGCTTTTCGGTCTTACGCGCTGGACATTCCATTCGTCGGCTAACACCTCCCCCAGCGGGGGGGTTTAGTGTGCCCACCCTCTCTAAGGAGTGGTACCCATTTTATCTACTCGCCGAAGCTTTCGAACCGCTGGGTGGACGGCGAGCTGGGGACAAGGCTGGTCACTCACACCAACACGGGGCTAGAACTGACAGCAGCTCTGTTCAGCTCAGATGTATTAACCAGAGGATAAATCCCCTGTGCCACCGCTCCCCCCTGTATCGGGGATCCTGAGCCTGCAGGCACTTCTGGGATTCTGATCGAGTGGTCGGGGCGACTACAAAATGGCTGCTGCAGGAGGTGGGGCCAGCCATAAAATGTCAGGGACTGAGGGTATGCCATAACTGTAATAATAATTTAAAAAGCTTCAGCATTTCAGGCGGAAGCACAAGCTGAACATATTGTTTAAAAATTTATTTCTCCTGACGTGTCGCTTCCCTTCCGTTGGGCAGTGCTGTGGTTGCAGCTGGTATCGTAGGAAGGTTCCCGGCCCCCAGGTCTGGGTGGAGGATCCCCCCTTCGGGGGGGCTTTGGGGGGCTTCTCCCTGCTGCCATTGCTCCCTCTAAGCTGTTGAGTCTTGTGAGCAGAAATTCTACTCTGTGAGCTACTGGCATTAAAGTTGCGAGCGAGCAGTTGGGCTGCTGCATAAATTAGTTTGCTCTGGAGCCCTCCTTCCTGAGCCAAGAGAAAAAGGTGTGAGCTGGAGTCTAAAAAACTGTGAGCTAGCTCACACTAACTCAGCTTAGAGGAAACTCTGAATCCCGCCCTAAATCAGGATGTTGCCGTGGGACATGACATCCCCCAGAAGTGACGCCATTGCATCAGGGACGTCACGCAGGGACGCTCTGGTATCTGAGCCAAACTCTGGTTTGAGAGCAAATTGACTGTAGAGTTTCACCGCCAAAACCAGTGTGTTGCCTCCAGTTGAGGTCCTCCACCATCCCCCCGGAACAACCCCCAAATCCCCCCCACCCGATCAGCGAGGGAACCTGACAACCCCCATGCCATAGCAATTTTTTTTTAAGTCTTCATAACCAATCAGATCAACAGCGGCCAATCAGAAGCTCTGCTGGCCACGCCCACTTTCTGGAAGGCGTTAGGAGATGCCGTGGCGCCCACGGGCACCATCTTGGGGGCCCTTGCCCTAGACGGGCCTTTGGCCTGCCTCCCGCCCCTTCTTGGCTGGCTTCATTCAGGCCTGGTCCTACACCTTGCAAGCAAGGTTCCCTCTAAGCTGCGGAGTCCTGTGATCAAAAATCCTACTTTGTGAGCGACCGGCATTAAAGTGGTGAGCTGGCGATTTGGCTGCTGCAGAAATTAGTTTGCTCTGGAGCCCTCCTTCCTGAGCGAAGGCAAAAAGCTGTGAGCTGGAGGCTGAAAAACTGAGCCAGCTCACCCTAATTCAGCTTAGAGGGAACACTGCTTGCAAGCAAAGGGATCAACTTTTTAAAATTACTGGGAGGGGGCAGCTTTGGCGCATCCTTCCTTGTTGTGTGGAAAGCAGGCCTTAAGCAGGGAGGGGCCTGGAGCAAAGAGAAGGGCAGCGCCGGTTACTGCAAGGATTTTTGTGCCACCTTTGTGTGTGTGGGGTGTGTGTGTGAATGAATGAATTGATTCACAGTCATGGTGGGAAGGTAACAGCGTTCCGTGCGCCTTGGTGTTTAGTCATGCCGGCCACATGACTAGAGTCGGATTCGACTGGCTTTCGAGCAAGGGAACCTTTACCTTTACCTTTTATATTGACCAACACATAAACCGCTTTACATTTTGTACCACATTAAAATAGAAGCAAAATTTTTAAGACTGATCATAAAAAACATAAAACCATAATGGTTAAAAGTAATAAAACTAAATCTTAGATCTCCTCTTTTCAAGCTACTGTAGATTTTCTCATTCTTTGGGCAAGCTACCCAAACCTAGCCACCCGATAAGTAACTTCTGCCCAGCTAAAAAAAAGGTAAAGGTTCCCTTGCTCGAAAGCCAGTCGAATCCAACTCTAGGGTTGCAGTGCTCATCTCCGTTTCCAAGCCGAAGAGCCAGCACTGTCCAAAGACGTTTCCGTGGTCATGTGGCTGGCATGACTAAACACCGAGGCGCACGGAACACTGTTACCTTCCCACCGAAGTGGTACCTATTTATCTACTTGCAGTTTCTTGCTTTCGAACGGCTAGGTTGGCAGGAGCTGGAACTAGAGACGGGAGCTCACTCCGTCACGTGGCACACTCAGGTCTCGAACTGTTGAACTACCAACCTTCCACAGCCTGCAGTTCAGCGTCTTAACCACTTGAGCCACCGCAGCTCCTTCTGCCCGGCTATCTGATAGCAAATTTCTTAAAAGGCAGGTTCTTTGCCTGCAAGAGAGAGAGGGAATGTCTTAGGGAAAGGAAGAGACTCGCGGATGTCATTATGCGCTTTACAATAAAAAATTACATGTTCTACAGACTCAATAGCATCCACACAACAGGGGCACATCCTTTCTTCGTAAGGAGTCTGGTTAAATTTTCCTTCCGGGACTGCAGATGAAAGTACAT